TTCGAATTGTGCAATAGTAAATGGTAAAGAGAATGACACAGTGATCTACAAGGAAAGCCCTTGATCATTGCTAGGATCTCCGACATAAAACCTTGGGAGGTGATAATGATCACCTGCCTTGATGATTTTATTAATGAAAAACGGTGATTATAGAGAATATTTCAATAAGAACAAGTGAATAAATTTGTATAGTAAGTTCAGAGTAAAAAACAGTGTCGTGTGTGAGATATACATGTGTCAATTTATAGTCCATACTAGCTAACAAGATGTCTGATATTTTTGGGATCCTCCATGACCAGCTTCATGAACGTTATTCGACTTGGTATTCCGGGTATTAAGCATAGTTGAGACAAAACTCCAGTGAGAATAATTCTTCTCTTGACTATTTCTGCACACGAGTTAATTAAGAACAAAATATAACCGTTATAAATATTAGTAAATAATAATAACGATAATAGTCAGGATCCTGAGATAGTTGAGGATCCTGAATATTTGATGAGGGTTGAGGATCCTGGCTCTAACATCATCTACAAATATACAAACAAGGAAGAGTCAGGACAAAAAACCTAAGAAAATGGTTAAATATATTACAAAAATCCTAACAGCCATTGTTTGGAGTTGCATAACTCAGCCAAAACCAAATCAAATAAGCTATTTCTTGATTCTAATACGTAGAAAAGACATAGGACTACAATAGAGAAAAAATTTCACCTCATCCTGAGCTCGTATGAAGATTTTATGATGTTTCAAAGTTTGACAAAAAAGCTAAAAAAATGTTGAAATATTGTACAAAAATCCTAACAGCCACTGTTTGGAGCTAAATAACTCAGCCAAAAACAAACCAAATAAGCTGTTTCTTGAGCCTAAAACGTATAAAAGACAGAGGACTACAATCTAGGAAAAACATCGCCTCATTTCGAGCTCGTATAAAGATTTTATGATGGTTCAAAGTTGGACAAAAATTCAAAAAAATGTTGAAATGTTGTACAAAAATTCTAACAGCCACTGTTTGGTGCTACATAACTCAGCCAAAAACAAACTAAAGAAGCCGTTTATTGAGCCTAAAACGTATAAAAGACAGAGGAATACAATCTGGGAAAAAAATCGCCTCATTTCGAGCTCGTATGAAGATTTTATGATGGTTTAAAGTTGGACAAAAAATCTAAAAAATGCTGAAATGTTGTCCAAAAATCCTAACAGCCACTGTTTGGTGCTACATAACTCAGCCAAAAACAAACCAAATAAGCTGTTTCTTGAGTCTAAAACGTATAAAAGATAGTGGACTACAATCTGGGGAAAAAATCGCCTCATTCCGAGCTCGTATGAAGATTTTATAATGCTTCAAAGTTGGAAAAAAATAAAAAACAATGCTGAAATATTATACAACAATCGTTACAGCCCCTGTTTAGGGTTGTATAACTCAGACATATCTTAATCTTTGAAGCTATTTTTGAGCCTAAAACATTACCAATACAAAGAACTACAATCTAGAAAAACAATCTACTCATTCCGGGATCATATGAAGATTTTATGGATGTTCAAATAAGAGAAAACAATCTTAAAAAAACTGAAATTGTAAAAAACAAACTGCTTTTGTACATGAAACTCAAGCACAAACCAGAAATATATGCAAATCGCATGTAGTAGTCAAAATTGACATTCAAATAATACAAAAATAACATTCAAACATCAAGAATTGATTTTATCAAAGCAAGAATAGTAGTCATACCTTCAATGAGAGGAGAATGATGATAAAATCGACAAAGAAGAAGTGTAGTCGTCAATGTTCCAATCGAGCACCACTGAAAATCGGCAACAAAATTGAAGACGTGAATGATGATCCCATCGATGTACGACTGTTTGTAGGGAAAACAATACGAAGACGTGGGGCGATTGCATGAGAAATCGAGTATGCCTTTGATAAAATTCGGATCGATGTTCTCAATGCGGTTTCGAATAGGGGTAAACTGAAATCTCTGCTTTTTTTTTCTAATTCTCGATCAATGTTTTTTTTTTCTCCCCTTTTCCCTCTTAAAAATAGAGAATTGTTTTGATGGAAAAGTAATTAATTTATTTCTCAATTCCCTATTTTTTGTATTAACCAAACAAGAGAAAAAGAATCAATTCTTTTTCCTTATGTTTACTTCCCTGTACCAAACACCCCCTAAGAGTTTGAATCCTTTTTGGATTCAATCAACTGCCTATAAATAGATTGCTAGAGGTCAAACACTAGAAGCTAATGATCTCTCTAAAACCATCCATACTCTTCTCATCTCTCCCCTTTTGTGAAAATTATAACCTTACTCTTAGGGTTATAGGATTTTCGAATAACCCTTCCATAGGGTTAATCCTTGTTAGATTTTGAAGTTTGTGGTTCTGACTACATTAGAGAAATTCTTCTTTGGGTCCTTCATCCATTGCAAGAGTTGCTAATCAAGATCAAGAAGTAAGTGTTTTATATATATCTTTAGTTGATTTTAAAGTACGTTACTAAAACTAGTATAACCTAGATCCTAGGGTGCATATATTGTAATGACTCAGATTTTCTACATCTAATTATATAGCGAGTTATCAGAGTTTTCTAATAAATGTGGAATTCTATAAAAATTAAAACACTTTATATCCCAGGTTTAATCACGGGTTTACAAAAAAATCATAAACATAAATTAAAGCGATAAGGAATATACAAGAAAAAAACTACTCCTAATCTAAGTCCTTGCGCTTCTATCTTCTCACATACCACGACTACCATCTAAGCCTTCAAAACATGAAACATCTCTACAAAATTAGACAACAATGTTTGGTGGGTCATATTTTTTTATATTTTCATGTTCATCTACTCTTTTTCGAGCTCTTTCTATCCACTACTAGAAAACAGATCTTTAATGACATGCTTTTTACGACACGCACTGATTAATGATACGCTGGAGGGCGCTTATGTTAAATGCGTGTCGTCTAGAAATGTTGCTTTATAATTTTACAAACGCTTTTTCAGCAACTAGCAGCGGGAAAAAGGAAATCAAAAAAATTAGAAAACCCGCCTTCCTTCCTTGTTTCCCCTCTTTAGCTCTGGGTGTGTTCTTTTACCACAAAAACCTTCACCACTCTTCCTCCGCCTACCTACATCGAGCGGTGCTTGCTTCTTTCCCTTGCACTCCGACCGCCGCCACCGATTCCTCCCCATTCGTTGACATCGATCAAGGCAACATGCACACCATCGCTGGATTTATGTATACACTTTTCTCTACTCGCCCTTACCAAAAGCATGCAACAACAACTTCAATGGAAAAATTCAGCTAGTAATGGCAGCGAAGAAGACCCACATCCCCCATTTCTCACTGGAAATTGAAGCCTTTGTGCTCACAGGGACAAGAAATCGACAATTTCTAGAACGAAGGTTGAAAACAAACAAGTTCTTATTATAACCTCCTTGCCTAAATAAGTATCCCTAGAATAATTGAAAACAGAAATTACTCGTTGCAACCAAACCACCGAATTTAACCCACTTCCATACAACATTCGGGAACCCAAAATTGGACCCAACGTAGACGCCCGGTTGAATCTCCTCACTAATCCCCTTTTATCTCTCTCTTCGATCTTTCGTTAATTCTTAAATCTCTACAAACATACAAATCTCTATAATACCCGTTTTAAATTTCTTGTTTTTGTTTATAATCATCTACTCGAATCAACACAGACGTCGGCAACAAGGTGTTTTGCATTACAAGCTCGCGATTGAATCTAGATATTCGTAAGGTTGATTTGTTGTTTCCAGTGAATTAGTTAGGGTTTTTGATTTTATTGGTTATTGTTGATTATAAGTTTATCTCTTAGGTTCGTTTGTAGATTCATGAAAATTCTAGGTTTAAGACTTTAAGCTAATATTTGTTTTTTCTTTTAACAGGAGGATGCTTTTGAGGCTATGATGAATCACGGAGTTACGGACACCATAACCACCTTGGACCCGAATTCACTTGAGGTAGGCATTAAGACACCTGCAGAAACAATACTTTAGCATGTTTATATAACACTAATCGATGCCTATGGATGATATTCAAATTCTTTTGCTAGTCATTCATTGGTTTTTAATAATGGTGCATTTCAACTAAAACCATTTTTGATTCTTTCGATTTTTAAGCATCATGCTGTTGATTCAAGCCATGGACAAGCACAATCATATTATGTCTCATCTTCCGCCCCTGAATCTGCATCATGGACCATGTATCGAGCTGTTAGCGATTCCACAGGGAACAAAACTTATCCCAGTGCCAACTTTAGCCATGATCACCGTTCAGAACCTCAATCAAGAAACCTTCAAGATGGATTGAGTGCGGCATCTGCTGGCACTGTTTCAAGTTCTGGAGCAGTTAATTTAGAGTATGCTAACTATACAACTCCAACTGCAATTGCAACTGCTACATACCCGAACAATGATCCATATGGATATGGAAACATAGGATATGCAGGTTACTCTAGTAGTAGCTATTAGCAGAAGCAACCAAATCAAACATACCCTTAACAGGTTATGTTCATCAATATCCAAACTACACTACGAATTCTAATGTTTCTTATACAGCTCAAAATAATACTCATGTGGCATCTGTACAATATCAACAAGATTATAATAAACAATGGACAAATTATTATAGCCAAACTGAAGTCACATGTGCTCATGGGACAGAAAATGTATATTCTACAAGTGCACCCAATCTGGTGTCTACTGTTCATGTTCCTATTCCTGTTGTTGACAATGCTTATTCTTCTCCAAACAGCCAACAAGTGGCATCTACTGCTCCAGTTCCATCATCTTGGAAGCCAGAATCTGGCTTATCTGAGTTACCCTCAGTGCAGGTTTGGGGATTGCTTTTCCCAGGAGCACTAAAATTCAGTTTCTATATGAAATTTGGTGACTAACTTGTTTGTTTTATTATTTTTCACTTTTGAATTTGCATTTATTTATTTATTTTGTAGTACTTACAACAACAACCTTAGCAACATCAATGGTTGCTATACAAGGTCCTATAGCCATGGCTGCTCATCATATATGTTTGCAAGTTTGGTTGGTTGTTTCTCTTATTATAGATGCATTGGCAGCATTTGGTCAGGTATAAATTGACCAAATGTTGACTTAACAAATAGTTTAAGGAAAATGTTTGACTATTTTACATATAGTTGACTTAACCATTTTTTTTGTTTTGTTTTAGGCGTTGATTGCTAGTTCGGTTTCAAAAGGGGATTATAGATCCGTGAAGGATATCATATACTTTGTGTTGACTGTAATGTTGATTAATAATTATTCTCTTTATATATATATATATATATATATATATCCAATTTACTTGATGCAATTAAATGGATGCTCCATCGATAAAAACAAGTACATGAATGAAATCTTTAGTATCTTTTACTTTTTAAATCAATTCTAATTAATTATCTATTCCAAAAACTCCCTTTATTATTGTGGCGGATTTATGGTACATACTTCATACTTGATTATTTTTTTTTGTGTTATTAACATGTATTGGTCTACACTTCCCATTCGTTGGTTTAATTGTAGTTACCCAACCCCGAATTTGTTTTATTTCATTTCCACATCTTATAAATTTATTTATATGTGTAGGTTATGTGTTATAGGATAAAGATGCGTCCTTTTCAAATGGTCCATGTGATATATGAATCCAATCAATTGGCCTAAAAAGACGGGTATACCCTCCTTGTTTGTAAAATGTGTTTTTTTAAAGATTTATGTGTTTTTTTAGATCACTTCAAGCGGTTTAACATCAATACACAAGACAACACTTGGTAAGTATAAGTTTTTTTTGTCATTTTTTCTCATAATTTGTGTTTTTTTATGATGGTTGACAATTCTGGTCATCTTTTCACATAGATCATGTTTGAGGATGATGTGACGATGCTTCTTGATTTGATGAAAGTTTATTCATGAATCTTAATGCCTTATAATGTTCCATTAGTTATTGATTATACATGATAATGGTGGCAGTAAATTTTGGGTTCCCAATATTGATTGGTTTCTTGTTATGCTTAAATCTTAACAGCTATCATGGCAACCTTCAACAGTAGTTTTGGATCGACACCTTCTAGCAGAAGATATCGTGTACGTGTTCTTGTGCTGCTATTATGGATTCAGGAACATCCTTGCTTACTGGTCCAACTGTATGTATCTCACGTAAAGCTTCTTATAGAAATATTAATCTCACGGATTTCAAGTTTTTCATATTTATTGTATCTAACTAGTTTGTAAATTTATGTTACAACTTCTATTGATTTGTTTTATCTTTCCATGGAACAATTATTTGTATGACATTAAATTTTATACAATGGATTGTATTTTTTGTATATGATATTTTATTTTCTATTATGAATCATTAAATGCAAATTTAATTTGAAAATTAGTAAATCTATAAGTAATATTTTTTTTAAACATTTAAAATTACGATACGCAAAAATGCGTGTCATCTTCATTTATGACATGGCCTTTCTTGACAGGGGCTTTAATGATACACAATGCGATTCGTAAGGTTACGACATGCAAATGCGTGTCGTCTTCCTTTATGACAGGGGCCTTCCTTGATACACATTACGTGTCGTAAATGAGCGTCGTATATGCGTGTCGTAACTGCGCGTCGTAAATGCGTGTCGTAAATAGACGACGCACAAAAGCGTGTCATCTTTTGTTATGACAGGGCCTTCCATGACACACATTTGCGTGTCGTCTGAGCATTTTACGACACGCATTGCGTGTCGTAAAAGGCTGTTTTTCTTGTAGTGATCTTTCCATACTCTAACCTTCTCCTATTTTCTTTCTCAAACTCTGCAATCTATCTCTTCCTCTTTATCTTTCACTATCTTCACATACTCTACATGATGTCCTCTTTTCTCATACTCTACTATATTCACCATCTTTCTCATCACATTTATCTTTTGCTATATTTTCTACTCTTCTTCTCATGCTCTTTCTTAGCCTCTTCTCAGGCTCATCTCACACTTTATACATACTCTACCTTCTCTCTCTTTATATCTCTCATACACTTCTTTCTACATCTATTTTCTTGTCCCTTACTCTTATCGCATCTCACACTCTGTTTGTTCTGCTCATACTATGTAACATCCAGTTTTGAAGTACATAATTTCAAGGTTTTATTTAAGCTTTTGGATGTAGTCACGACGTGAACAATGTCTCTCACGTTATGAGCCAGAGTTGGCTTGTTGACCCGCATTCTTTCAGTCTCACGACGTGAGCCCTTGTTGCTCATGAATTGAGAGCGGCCTGATGACCAAACCCTAAATTTTCGGTATTTAATGAAATTAGAGGACTAGGGTTGTTCACCCTTAGCCTCCCTCACACTCTAAGCCTCCGAAAACCCTGATATAAATCATTCTTGAAGCCTTAGTCCATTTTGGTGCATTTCCTAGTTATAAGAAGAAGAGAAGAAGAGGAAAAGAAGTGTCCTAGTGGTGGAGTTTGCAAAGTAGCATCATCATGAGCACATATTCTTGTTGTTGGACCTTTGTAAGTGCTAAAGGTTCAAACTTTATTTCATATTATTGATAGATCTAGGATTTTGTCCATATTTCTCCATGTTAAGCATGTTTGAGTGAATTAAATCCATAAAGTTAGCAACTTTATGGCTTACAAGGGTTCCTTGATTATCATATTGTCAAGATCTGGAAGTTAGTGAGGTTTAAGAGTCATGCATGAGAGTTTGATGCATTTTTTCTCACTTTTTGACCTAGAATGGATTGGGACATGCATGGTGCATGCATGACAACAAAGCAAACATTTTTATGAACCTTTAGGGCCCCCTTAAGCTCGTGGAGAAGTTGGGTTTAACGACTTATTGAGTTAAGGAATTAAAACCGAGATTTTTGGCTTCAGACCGAAATCACGACGTGAGACATAAGGTCTCACGGCGTGACCACGAAGAAAACATGTGACTGAGTTTTCTGAGTCTGGAGTGAGTTGCTGGAATCGGACCTGGTCGACTCTCACGACGTGACCAAGAAATGGTCACGACGTGAGACCTTATATTAGGGTTTTGTCCAATGGATTTGACACGGTTGAGTTTTAACTTTGACCAGGATTTTGATCAAATTTGACTTAAGGGTATTTTGGGTATTTTGAACTGTAATATGAGTTTTGTTCACTCTTATTTGTAAAGGTGACTTAGGGTATTTTGGGTATTTTGAAAGTTTATGTGCTTATAAGGTCATTTTTTACTATTAAGGTAGATAAATTCAATTTGTCGCCAAACTATGTGCGTCATTTTTCTGTAGCTAAATACCATAGTGACAATAAGCATATTGATCCCTGTTGAATCATGAAAAGTGAAACTCTAGCAATCATAAGTAATCAAGTTCTGATGTCAGCTGAGTCCGAGATGAGTTGAAGTTCCGAGATGAAGATCCTTCCGAGATGAAGGGCAATTTCGAGATTAACAGTATGTTCAAGCATTTAATGTATTTTGTCTTATTATTGATGCAACAATTCATAGGACTTTTCCTTTATGTATCTTTTGGATAATAGTTTTTCAAACACTGAGTTTTATCCAGTCCTATGAATGTCTCTCAGTTTGTTCCATGTTCCTCCACTATTTAAGGATTGAATGTTTTCACCATTAATAGGTGTGAATGATTCAAGTTTCAAACTAAGAATAGAAAATATTCTCTTCACGTCATTTTCACTTTTCCTTCAAGTCAAAGTTCTTTCATTACATTCTTCTTGTTCTTTAAATATCTTTTCATTGATTATACTCTAAGTTTTCTTCATTTATTACTTGAACACTTTGTTGAACATTTCCTTCAAGTCTTAACTGGTATTACCAGATTCGACCGGAACCATACATTAAGAGCAGACATTGATCTTAAAGATTAACTCAAGGTTTGATTTTTCAAACCTTGTCCTTGCGCATGGATTACTTGTTCTCACAATTGGTATCCGAGCTTGAGTGGTTGTCCTTTGAATCCATAAGAACAGATTATAGTTGATTTGAAATTACCTTGGTATTTCAGTCATTTCTGTGTTCAGGATAAAAGTTCTTCTACATACCACTTCTGCTCTAATATCTTAACTTCAATGGATGCTCCTAATTCTCAACAAATGTATTCAATGCAAATAGCAAATAACATGGGTTTCCTTTCTCGTGTCCCACTGCTAGTTGTTGAAGAGTATGATCACTGGAAAGTTCGAACGGAAAGGTTCTTACTTGGTAAGGAAAAAGGGGAAGAAATATGGAGATCCGTGAAAGAAGGTCCACATGTTCGGGTCAGACAAACCGTAAGAGATGTTGCTACAACTCTTTTGGGCCAAGATGAATAACGTCAGACACTTCTCACTGCTACCGACATAGATAAACTACATGCAGATCAAGTTGCATTTTCCGAGATGGTGTTTGGTGTTCCTCCTTCTCTCTTTGAGCACATTAAGTTGTGCAAATCTGCTAAAGAGATTTGGGACACTATCCAAGAACTGTTCGAGGGATCAGAAAACATGAAGGATAAGCGTCTAACCTCGGTTGTCAACAAGTTCGATACCTTCACCACAACTCCAGGTGAATCAGTTGCCTCGGTTTCCAACAGATACCGAATCGTCGTCAACAACATGACAGCTCATGGGATTGTCCAAACTCCTCTAGAATACAATCTCAAATTCATCAATAGTCTTGGTAAAGGATGGGGAAATGTGAAATTGTGTCTTCAGAGTAATGGATCTGTGAAGAAGATGAAGCTTTACGAGCTGTTTGATGAGCTTCAAGGACATGAATCAAATATTTCTCAAACATTGAGAGAAATCTCAGGAGGTCCTCTAGCTCTTGTTGGTTCTTTTGATCCTCAAGTCTCAAACCCCTCTATTTCGGACCCTTTCAAAGCTGTTATCCCTCCTATTCCATCTGTTCAACCCTCTCCACCAACTTTACATGTTCTTCCTAATTCCAACTATCAATTTGATGGAGACCTCGACCCTGAAGTGATGGACTCCAAACTTCACTTTCAACAAGAGTTTGCCTTACTGTCCATGAAATACAAGTCACCATGGAACCCCACTCACAAACCATACCAGAACCATTTCCAAGCTTCTCATCAAAGTAATTCCCAACCATTTCCCAAACCCTCAGAGAATCTACCTGCCTACAAGCCAAACATCTCGACACCAAGTCACTCCTCGGAATCTCGTGAGAATCCAAAGTCAGACAAACCGAAGGCTGTTTGTCACAAGTGTGGTCATGGAAACCACTTTTCCAAAGATTGTATGCATGAAGCCATACAAAAACAAAAGATCAAGGACTTTGCTAACTATGCCCGCCGAGCCCAAGAAATGGCTGCAAGTGAAAAAGCATTTGTCATCACTGTGTCAAGAGATGTGGAAGGATATTGGTCATCTGGATATGAAGATGATGTGAGTTCTGGAAGAAACATGTGTCTTATGGCTAGACATACAATTGAATGCAATGAAGGCTACTGGTTATCTGGATCACAAGAATATGATGAAGATATTGAGCCAAATTTCGGCTACATGGCAACCAACGATCCACCAGGTCGAAGCATTGTTCAACAGGTAAAATCTATGATTAGTGATAATAATTTTGACTTATCTCTTTGTGAACCATATCTAACCCAGATCCAATCAGATATGAACATCATCTATAAAGCCTATGAGTCTGCCATAGAAGCGAGTGAGAAGTTGGAAAGTGAATTGAGTCGTCTTAAGTTATGTTTGGAGGATAGGAAGCTTAAAATAGAGTCGCTAGAACGAGAACTTGTAATGTCACAAGATGATTGTATCATTCTTAAAGACAAATGTGAAATCACTTATTTTGAAAGAAATGTTTTAGTTTCCGATAACAAACGTCTGAATGCCAAAATTGATGCTTTACATCATGCCATAGATATTCTTGAAGCCACTGAACGGATGACTCATAATTTTCGTCATCCTTGGTTCAAAGCACCTGGTCTCGGAAGCGAGTTTCTGAACGTCCCTTGAAGGAGTTAAAAGATCTAACTTTTATGGGAGACGTTCCGAACCACACATATTCAGATACCCCTGTCTCACCATTGTCACCCCTTCGTGAGACCTCGGACCGATTTTCATCTCTAATTCCTCAGTTTCAACCTATAGTTGTCAAGTGTCCTGATTCTACGCCTATTCCGCCTTTGATATCCCTGGACCTGAATT